GCTATTTCAATCTCCACCTGATCTTGTTAGATAGTATATGCCCTTACCTCCAATCAGATTGATGTACAGATACATTTATTGTAAATGAATAAATGTACATTATTATTTTATGTTGACTTTGGTATGTTTCTATGAATTTACCCCTTAAACCGGACACTTATGAGACTCATGTTAGTTTAGAATGTTCTTAGCCATTGGATAGACTTGGGGAGTTTATCTTGCCAAGGTTGACACTGATGTGTTGTCAAAAATGTTAGGGCAGCTTGCCTCAATTGCTAAGGTTAGACACGAAGCACATGTAATGTGTGTTTAGTTGAAACGCTGAAGCCAGACCATTTTCCAGTTATTCCTTAGACCTTAGAGATTGATGGGCAAAATTGAAAAGTTATGCATAACCCCTAGACTTGATTATGGTACTGCATTGGGTATTGGTTTGGGCTGTCTTTGATATGCTAATCAGTGAGATCCTTTATGGGTGAAAACCTATGTATGTTGGGGCAGTCTATAAATTCACTTAAGTAGGTGATCATAGTGATAGGATCGGCCCCTTTGTCGGACAAAGTGAATGATCGGGAATGCACTCTCTCTGATAGAAACCTAAACTACCGGCAGTAGATTTCAACCATGTTTAAGATTTGGTTTTGCAAAATATATTTATATGATATACATACATATATATATATACTACATTTTAAGAAAAGTATTTGCAAAAGGTTTTAATTCCCGTGATCCATCTAAGCAGAGAGTGTGACACTGCATCTTGCAGTCAAGGGAGAGGTCCTTCTCTGTCGGGCAATGTTTGACCATTGTAGGCCGAGAGGTTAAGTGTAAGAGACCATTAAGGGCTGATTACATGATGGGTTTTATCTTACTTAAGTCCATTATCCTTGGGTCTTCATAGAATGGCTTGATTCAATGATCATTTAAGTGTAAATGTTGGGCCCATTTTGAGCCCATAGTGATTTGCTCAAGGGTTTATTGCATTTAGCAGAGAATTTGGCCAAGCCTTTTCACAGAGGCTGGGTCAAACCCATGTGGATTTATGTGAGGTCATTGTGGGGTCCCATGCCATACAAATCAAACCTAAATTGGCCAAGCAATACTCTTTGGTCCTGAGCCATATAGCTGATGGGCATAAGGCCCATAATTAATTTGATTAATTAAGATGGGGCGAATCTGGGTTTGGAAATGGGTATGGAGCACCCATCCTCTTAAGAGGATAAGACTTATCTCTTGATAGAGTCCAGATCAAAATAAAGATTTAGATAATCTCCTAATTTGATTAGGAGAAGTGCTCCATAAAGAGATAAAAGAAGAAGAGGGCGAACTGATCTAGAACACTTGTCAATTCTGCTCTCTCTCTCTCTTCTTCTTTTGTCTCCCAAGAAACCCTAGTTCGACTACAACTTTTGGGACTAATAAAGATCAGTTCTTTCTCTAATTTTTGCAAGAAAAATTTAAAGAAATTTCGTGCTCACCTCCCTAGTTCAATCCAAGCAGTTGGATTGTAGTTTTCTTGAAAACTGTGTTGCTGAACTGGCTTCAAGATCAAAGCTACGCCGTCTTCAGTGGAAGCTGATTTAGTAACTGATTTGGGCATGAACTTCCACCTTGGAAACTACACTTGTGGTATCCGTATCAAGTATAAATCTCCCTCTTTGTTTGGTTTCAAAATCTAGTTCGGTTTTGTTTAAGATCGATCATAGAAAAATGCAATTTTTCGAAATTCAAGAATACGATTCCCAGAAGGTCTAGAAATTTCGCCTAGCCACCTAGCATGGTTCGACCATCCATATGATAGATTCTAAACCTTCCTTTAGATCTATTTCAAACACAGTTTTTGGGAAATAGGTCCCTCCACCGCAGCTTTAGATGACTAAGTTGCACAGCTGGGACCTCCTCGCAGGTGTCAGATGTTCCATGATCACCTAGTGCAGCCTCCTACTCATGCTTAGACTCGGCTACCACATCCCTAGAGGGTTGCTCTGGCAGTACTTTAGAARTCCCCTGCTTGCATTCTTCTTTGGGAGATTGCTCCAACACCACAACAGAAGGTCTCTGCTCCTACCCACTCTTAGTCTTGCCCACCAGACCGCTGGGGTCTCCTCCAGCATAACCACGGAAGGCTCTTGCACTTGTTCATGATCACCAAGCACAACATCCTTGCAGCAATCAACACCTTCACCATTAGCATTTGGGATAACGACCGTATCGTCCACATTAGAGAACTGCTCCTTGGGTAACTTTCACCCCTCTACAAGAGGCTGAAGAGCTTTCAAATCTTTGATTAAATGCCTAATTACAAGTGTCACAGTCAAACTAGCCGACTCCACATCGCACACTCCTTGTGGCAAAATGAACAAAATCGTCAAGAACAAAAGGAAAAACACAGTATGTAAAGAAAATGAAACATACAACTTAATTACACATACCTCCTTACCCATAGTACTTTCAGACGGTACTTGTGGGATGACAACCTCAGGATGACCCTCCCCAACAACCACCTATTTCAATACAAATGACTACAACAACATGAATAGTCCAAATAACAAAAGAAGCACTAATTGATCCAAACATTATATACACTTACCAATCCAGAAACCTCTGACTCCTTCCTCTGAGGACGAGGAGCCATCTTCTTTACCTATCCACCAGTGACAGGAACTGTGACCATGACAGTAGGAGGAACTGGAACTTCTGACTGCATTGACTCTGCATCTGCTTTCTCCCCAACCTCAGAAGAAGGATCTGGGAGATCCTGAGCATCACCCTCAACAGATTGCTCCTAGGCCTAGGGCTGGGACGTCAGAAATAGGCATTGGATCACCAGCAAACCCTGGTACCTCCGGCCAGAAAGAACAAGGGACCCTTGTCGTCCTACACTTCTTGTGTAAAGCGGGATGGCTGCTCTCACCTTCCTCAACAATAGGCCACTTGCCCTTACGGTTAGCGCTTGTTGGCCCCTACTCCTCAACAGCTACCTAGTTCACCCAGGGAGCACCAGCTTCAGAAAGAGCCTCCTCACCTTGCTCAGCTGTGTAGTCGGGTGGTGGGGCCATTACATGACTAGGGCGGGGCTCAGTAACCGTGAACAATTTCATCCCACCAAAAAGGGCACACAAATAGCCTAGATGAATAGACTTACAAACTTCCATACGCTTGAAGCCAGCCAACAAGGAACAAGAAATGCCACGAAATGACGATGCGTCCAAAAAATGTCTTCACTTCCTGATCTTAGAAATTGGGAGCCCATGTCATCGTACCCAAACTGGCGGAGGAGACGGTTAGGGTGATATGATGCAACTTGTGCCTCTCCAGCACGGTCAAGATACATGAGCACACCAGGCCACAGAACGAGATGTGTGACACGAGAAAGAGGATGATCAACATCGACAACACACTCTTGATCACCATCCTCGGGGACATTAACCCCAATGCAGAATGGCATAGCGTGATGCATAGGTCGAGTATACGAGCGCAGAACCAAACCGTCCAAAGACAAAAACTTCAACTCAATTTCAGCGATCCCAAACTATTTCCCCCTCTCGGCATCGAGCCACTGTTTCCCATGGCAGACCTCCAAAGTCACATCTTTAGTCTGGTCATCGTCCAGGGTCGCCATGCTAACAGACAAAGGGGATAATCGTCGAGGCGTCACACTTAGCTAAAAATGTTCACGAAGGAACAAGAACAGAAAAGGGGCAAAAATATAAGAGGAACAACGCTTGCAACTTGGGTCCATAATCTGATGTACAGTGTTGTCAATCTGGTAAAAAACATAGCCGAGGAACATTAATGCTAATGGCAACTGATGACCTCCAGCTGCAAGAACGGCAAGAGGAACAAGAATGGCATGGAGGCCATAATCAAGATTGTTGGGGAATTGGAAACGCGACACAACATAGAGAATGAAGGCCGCAAGGTGGCATTGACTGTTCCCCTTTCGAACCATGATGTCAGTTGAGTTCTCGCCCTCGAACTAGTGAGAAAGAAGCAACTTTATGTAACTAACCCCTTCCTTTCTAGGAAGGTCCAAGAAACAGTCCACAAGTCGGAGAAGTCCTGCACTACGGAGCAACTGATAGAACATAGGGTTTTCTGGTATATAACATGCAAAGGGTGAATAGTTGATTGGCGACATAGAATTGTCTATCTTTGGTTCATGGCACCAGAAGGACATAGAACGCTCCACACGACTGTATAGACGCATCAACTCCTTCCCCTCCAAGCATCAAACTTGCCATTTTTGTCCCTTGACACTGGCATGGGAGGCCAAAAACCTTTCCCGCCGTCAGCCATACTAGCAGATTCACACTCAAAAAGAAGGTCCACATTGTCAACAACCCTTACAAAATCAACAAAGGGACACTTGGATTTCACAGACTTCTTCTGCCCACGGGGAGCCATTTGCAACACGGACAGGAATAGCGAAGGTAGGAAAGAAAAAAAGATAAATGGAAAGTGAAGAAGAACAAACACACAAAATCACCAACGAGACTCAAAGAGGAAAGCTGAGTAAAGTGTAACAAACGACCGAACGGAACCTTCTTATAAAAGCTTCTCACGAGCTTGGCAGTCCAAACGGCGCCGTGAAAGACTGAAATAAATGATTATCAGTCACCCACCGTTGCTCAGCCGAAAAAGTTGGACCAATGCTGGTTTGGTCATCAAGCGAAACGTTTGTTCAACCGCGCAAGGTAGTGTGTTACATGTTCCTGCTACCAGAATCGTTCAACTATGGAAATGAAACATTTGTTCAGATTACCTGAAACCCATAATCATTCTATTCTTCATGTCTCAAGTAAGGGGCTGGCCAAACAGTGAGGAGTTTAGAGGTTTAGGAAGTTTTAAAAGGGTATTTTAGGAAATTAAAAATATTTATCGGTCACGTAATATCAAATTTGAACGAAGTATAACGGAAAGTTAACGGTATTAAAAAATTTGCCCTAAAGAAAATTAGATAACAAGTAAGGACATTTGTATCTTTTTGTGTGTCACTTAACGGGTTGGGGACCAAAATTACACGGCAAATTGCAAGGTACTAATCGGAAATTTTCTCTAAATAAAATAAGAAAATCAAGATCGAATTCTGAGGTTGAAAGAAACATTTCGTCTGCGCATTTCGCTTGTACGAGAATCTGGTAATTCAGTGTTTCAGACCCGGGATTTCCTAGAGTTTTATCTCGTTTTCAGGTAAATTCGAAATCCTGGTCTTGATCTTCTGTTTATTGAATCCTAATTGCTTTTTCTTCCCACATTTTCATCGTTTTTTCCTCTCTGTCAATCATTTCGAAAGGATTGCTTCGATCTAAGATTTTGGATAGGGTTCGAGTGATATGATTTCTCAGAAAGCTTCCGTTTTTGATAGTTTTGACGGTCTCTGACAACTTATATTAATGTAACTTTAGTTTTGTAAGTTCTGTTGGTCGTCTTGTTTGAATTTGTGAGGATTTTGGATTTTTAATGGGAATCATCAATTGGGTTAGTTGGAACTGTTTTGGGATTTTGGTAGGGAGTGATTATTCAGGGAAAATATGGTCTAGGGGTTGATGTTGTTATAACGGCTAATTGGAATGTTGTTCCAGGCGGTTCATGTACTTAGAACTTTTATCTGCTGTTTATATAGATTCTGACTCGTTGGAACTCCTCTTGTGTTTGTTTCATTTTAAGTTTGAAATTTTATAAGATTTGGAATGGTATGATAATTTGTTTTCATGTATTTTATTGGGTTTGTTTTACTAAACTTGTTTCTGGTGAATTTTTTAGGAGTATAGGCGAAGAATAAAAACAGACTTTGTTGGATAATTGTGGCTTGAAAGCAGAGAAATGAGTAACTTTCGAAATGACGTTGGAAATCCTTCCGGAGGTATGCTTATTATAGTTTGTAGGCATGTACGTAGCAAAAATATTTAAGATTAATCTCTACTATTACCTATCCTACAAAACAAGCATTATCTATTATTTGAATTAGTGATCACTTTGAAACTGAAGAAGAAAATTGAAGTTAAAAAGATTTATAGAGATTAAAATTGTATGGCTTTTTTTTGGGAACTAAAAAAAGTCTGAAGGAACATAAAAGTCATTTCTGCTTTTCATAATAATAATGACAAAACTTCTTTGTCAAATTTAATTTGCTGTTCATGAATTCCTTTTTATTATTTTATATTTTGCAAGCTTTTGTCTTTCTATGTTGGAGCATACAAGCTGTTTTTCTTTCCATGATCAGTTTGATATACTATCTGTGCAGGGAATTTGAGGAGATTAAAAGAGCTTATTCTTAAAAGTGATAATCGCTTTTGTGCAGACTGTGGTGCTCCAGATCCAAAATGGGCGTAAGTTCTTGTTGCTTGAAAATTATAGTTTCCTGCTTCTGCTATGCAACTTTGGATAAGCTTCAAATATTTGAAGAACACATACAAGCTTAGCTTTCTACTAATAATGGTTCCATGGTTCTGATATGCAACTCTGAATTGCTATACATGTTCACCATTGGGAAAAGATCTCCCCCATGACATTTCCACCCAAATAGTAAATTATTGCCTTCTTAATACAAATGACACTACATGCTCTATGAAAGCAACAATGTCCACAACTAACACTTAATAATAATTATGAGAATGCCTTTCTTTTAAGACATACACCCTTTTATCTGCAAGAAAGATGCTCATTCCTATATTTCTTATACTGACGATTTATTCTACTTTTATTATGACTACGCTATAGTGTCATGTTTCTACTCTCCAGTATATTAGCATGATTCTGCATGTGCACAGATATGTTGATTTCAGTATGTTTTGTTTTATTTAATGTATACTTTTTTGAATGTATTGTTCTGCAACTATGAAGGGGATCATTATCAGGTTCCTCTTGTAGGGGCACCTTTTGATGATTAGCCTTCAATTTCTGTATTCTTAACTTCTAATAACTTGTTTGTGTCGTATAAAAAATGGGATTTAGGGTTTGACATAAGAGAGAGATTTCCATTTTCACCCCTGAAGAGTCATGTTCACTGTTGAGATTGTTTGGGGGCAAGGGTATTTTTGTCATTTCTGCCCTTTTGTATTTGGGCACCGATATGAGGGCTTACTTGTAATTTCTCTAAAAAATATAAAATCTCAAGTTTGAGAGAGTGAACGGTAAATCTCTCTTCTCCATTTGTAACTCCCTATCTCTCTTCTTCTCTTCTCTTCTCCTATTTCCTCTTCTTGCTTTCTTTCTCAATAAAACCCAGATATTGCAAGTTGGTATTAGAGCAACTAGAAGGTCTTGGGAGAATCATTCTCTACTAGTTTTTTGCTTGGAGGATGAGTTGCTAACGTCAAATCGTCGTCGGATGACGTCAACAACCCATACAGGTGGTGGCGACAATCTCTAAAAATTGTATGGTTTTATTTGCCCTAATTTTAGATGAATTTTGGTAAATTTCTTATTGTTTGATGCCTCTATGGTTTATTATGGATATTTTAAGTGAAAAGCGTAGAAATTCCATATCTGGTTTAGAAGCTTGCTTCTCTTGTTTGATGGGTTTTTTATTCTGCAAAACCTGGTTCTTTAGGTCATTTTATATTTTGGGAATGATCGGAAGTGATCCTGTATTTTTCTGAACCCTAAAAAATTTTTGGGAGTTTTTATTCTTTCTCTATTTTACTGCTAGCTAGCTTTTTGGCCCCTTTTCTGACCTTGAACTGAGTTTGATCCTTTCTTTTGGGTTTTTTTGTATTCCGGTTTGGTGTTGGGATGCTCCTTGGTTGCCGAGAAAGTTGTTTGTGAGGTATGGAATCACTAAAGGATGTACAAATGGGTTCCAATGTGTTCCCTGGAAACATTGGTGTTTCCAGTGGTATGATAACCATTGTAAAACTTGATGGGACCAATTTTTTGGAGCGGTCTCAATCGGCTAAACTTACCATCACAGGGAGATGTAAGTTGGGATTCATTACAGGTAATGAGGTGAAGCGGAAAATTAAAGACCCTAAATTTGCAAAGTGGGAATAGGATAACTCATTGGTAATGCCTTGGCTAGTTTGTTTAATGCAACTAGGGATGGCAATGGGGTGGGTTCGGGGAGGGTTTTGTAAATTCTAGACACTACCTACCTCCCTAAACATCTCAACCCGTACCCGCCCCAAAACCCATAGTGGGTTAGATTTTGAGAATCCAAATACTCCCCACACATGAAAATGCAAAACCCCTTGACCCTACCTTCCCCGCATCAAGGGTAGGGGCAAGTTGGGTTTAGAACTTGCATCAAATTTCCTATTATTTATTGTTACTTATAAGTGATAAATAAGTAAAACAACACAAATAAACAACAAAATTTCCAATTATTTGATTAAGGCATGTAGAAAACACATAAACTATCAATTATCCTTCACATAAAATTCAAAATATTATTAAATTCAACACCTAGTACATAAAGTTTATATGCTTTCCAACAATGTGCAAGTTGGATTTAGCCTAATACCATACCTTACCCATATCCGTACGGATTGTAAAATCCCAAAACCCATCCCCACCCCAAAACTCATCCTTCAAGCAAAAAAACCCACCTCGTCAAGGTAGGTAAGGGTGGTACTAACCGGGTAGGGTAGAAATTGCCATCCCTAATTGCAATCTCACATTGCTTGTAACTACATATTCCTCTTGACTACCAAAGATATTTGGGATAGGGTTGTCGCCACTTACTCACAGGTTAACAATATTGCTAGAGTATATCAGCTTAGGAGGGAAGCTTGTAGTATGTGTCTGGGGGAGAGAACAATGGTTATGTATTTTTCCTCTCTACTGTCTCTTTGGAATAACCACTGTAAAACTTGATGCGACTGACTTTTTGGAGCGGTCCCAATCAGCTAAACTTACCATAACAGGGAGAGGTAAATTGGGATTCATTACAAGCAAGGATGAAGCCGAAAATTGAAGACCCTAAGTTTGTAATGTGGGAACATGATAACTTATTTGTAATGTACTCATTCATTGATAATGTCTTGGCTGGTCTGTTCAATGCAACCTCACATTGCTTGTAACTACATGTTCCTCTCGATTTCCAAAGATATTTGGGACAGGGTTGTTGCCACTTACTCATAGGTTAGCAATATTACCAGAGTATATCATCTTAAGAGAGATGCTTGTAGCATGTATTAGGAGGAGAGAACAGTGGCTATGTATTTCTCCTCTCTACAGTCTCTTTGGGAAGAAATGGACCACTCGAAAACTTTTGAATGGAAGGATCCTATAAATGCCGAGTAGTATAGGAAGTACATTGAGAACAAGGTCTTTGACTTTTTGGCTTGCATAAATCCAAAGTTTGATTTCACTAGGCAACATATTTTGAGTGCAAGTATTGTCCTCTAGCTATTGCTTACTCTCTTGTGCAAGGAGAAGAAAGTAGAAGGGTAGCCATGATGTAGCCTCTGTGATTGAGCACTATGCCTTTATGTCCTCTAAGCCTAGGCCAAGTGGTAGTAAGCATCCTACTACTGAGAAGTTTGATGATGTCATCTATGAATATTGCAAGAAGCCGAGGCATACTAAGGAAAGATGTTGAAAACTCAATCCTCACTTGAATTTAGGCAAGTTTAAAACTGGAAAGAAAGGCAACACTCATTTGGTCATAGTTGTTAATGAGGCTCAGTCTTCTGATGTGACCATTCCCTCTCATGACTCCTTTGACGTTATGGCTAAACTTCGGAGTCTTTTATTGCACTTGGAAAAGAGTGGGTTATCCTCATCTGGTTCTAGAAATCCATCCAGTGCATATGCTAACACAGGTACTACGCTTGCTTATTCCACTTCCATCCCATGGATTGTTTACTTTGGGGCTAGTGCCCATATGACTGATATGCCTTCACACCTTATTCATATAAGTTAACCCCTGGGAAGGGTAAGATTATTGTTGTAGATGGATCTCAGATCCCTATCTTGGGTTAAGGAGAAGTCAAACTTACCTTTAACCTTTCCCGTGGATCTTTCTTCATGTTCCTAAATTGCATAAAAATTTCTTATTTGTTAGTTCACTTACCAAGTCCCATAATTGTTCTGTAACCTTTTTTCCTACCCATTGTGTTTTCTAGGATTTGAGCATAGGGAAGATGATTGGAAGTGGGCATGAAGTTAATGGAGTCTACCTTTTTGATGAAGCTTCAGAATATGGGTTTTTGAGCCAATATGAGTCTTGTTCTAACTGGGGATGACATCTCAGGTATCTCTCAGTTAAAGTCCTTTCTTTCTTCGGAATTTGAGATTAAGGATCTTGGTGATCTAAGGTACTTTATTGGAATTGAAGTTGCAAGATCCAATAAGGGAATCTTCCTTTCTCAAAGAAAGTATGTTCTTGATTTGATCCATGAAGTTGGGAAATTGGGATGCAAGCATATAGAAACTCCAATTGATCCCAATCATAAGTTGAGTACTATTGAAGGAGATGTTTTCCAGATAGAGTGGTCTTTCAAAGAGAGGTTGGCTGCCTTCTCTATCTCTGTTTGACTAGACTTGATATATCGTATTTAGTCGGAGTGGTCATCCAATATATGAATGAGCCTAGGACCTTCCACATGCAAGTTGTTAATAGAATCCTAACCTATTTGAAGGGATGTCCTGGTAAAGGGATGTAGACTGGATAGGGTCTGTTGATGATAGAAGATCTACATCCTATTACTATGTCTTAGTTAGAGGCAATATGGTTTTGTGGAGAAGCAAGAAACAATCAATTGCTCGATTTAGTGCTGAGGTAGAATACAGGGCAATGACCCATGGAGTGTCAAAATTACTCTAGTTGAAGACTTTATTTACCGAGATGGGAATCCAAGCTGATACTTTAATGAGAATCTATTGCAGTAATCAAGCAACCATAAACATTGCCCACAATCCTGTGCAATACAACTGTAGAAAACATATCGAAGTGGATTGTATCACTTCGTAAGGTCGGAAGACCAACTCGTTGATT